AACTGTTCGTTCAAAAATCTAAATTGCAAATCAACAAACGTAATTTACAACGGGATCGCACCTGAAACGTCCGGATTCAAGTTTTTTGTGGGCATCTTGCACCATATTTTTCGCCGGGTCTGCCACTGTTTTTAATGCAGATTCAACGTTATCTGATATATTCTTTTTCTTCTTCCTTTTCTTTTTCTTCTTGGGTTCGACTGAACTCGGAATAGCCTATACATACAGTAGCAATAGACAATCCAAAGTGTTCACAACATCCTAGCGCAACGGAATAAACAAAAAAGCGTTAATTTCAAAACCGTGCTCATACCGCCTCATTTGAAACTGCGGCAGCTCGATTTGCCCTCTGCGCTTCCTTTCTCGCCTTCTTTCGCACTTTATCACGCCAAGGACGCTTCTTAAAATTGTACTTATTCACATGGATGCTAAGTAAGATAGACGACGCACACCTTCTTCTTCAAGGCTGAATCAATTTTCTTTTCTGATGCAACCGCCTCTGTTGTTTTCACCATGTTCTAGAAACTATTCAAGAGATGGACGACCGAGTACCAGTATAGTCCTCGCGCCTGCAGATTGTTGCCTAAATTTCTACAGCAAATGGAAGAATGTGCGCACCTCGGCGTTTGCTGACGGCGCTCGGTTCTCCACTTATACTAAGCACAGTGTGGAGATATAAGGTAAGTAATGCAAGTAGCTGTTGATTTAGTACTACATAAAATGAGCAGATAGGTCTCTATATGTATTTATGGACGACTTCACAAGCTTACAATGCAACAGCAGCATCGCAACAAATTTCGGATGCGGATAACAATAGAATTTCACATAGTAAAATAACGAATAACAGAAACAACAGTGGATAACTCTCCAAACTAACAACAAAAAAGGGTTCTTGTTAAAACAAGCGAAAATGTAAAATCAACTGCTTATCTCCTATCGGTTTTTCCCATTTTTCGCTTTCCACTGAACAAGTGCTTGGGCTTCAGATCATACACGTGACGATCAGCTTCTCCTTTTCTTGCCTCTCTCCTCAATCGTCGCATAGCATTCACACGAAGTTTAGCTGCCTTGGCTCTTGTCTAAAATACGATTTTTGTGCGTGAATTTCGTTCTTTCTTGCATACCTCCTTGTTAGGCATAGCAAGTTCATCTCTCGGCGGTGGACGCGATGCACTCAAGCTTGGCGATCGGCCGACCTTCACCTTCTTACCAAGCTGAGGTTTCTGAGCTTGTCCTTGCAGATTCTTCAT